TAAACAGTCCTATCTTACAGATGAAAACACTTAAGTTCAAAGAAGTCAAATGTCACACAAGTCAGCAGAAGAGCCAGGGTAAAACCTAGATGCCCTGATCCTTTTCAGGCCAATCCTGTTCAGCGTTCATTTTCGTTAAAATGGACAAAAGGGATAGGAGGCTGAAAGGTGGTAAAGTTCTTACCCAGCCAATAGGGAAAAAAATACTAATGGGAAAAGAAACTGAATACCCTAGATAATTAGTATCTACTAGTCCCAAACAACTCTACCCTTACAACTTTTAAGGCTTATTGCCATTCCAGTAAATGTGTAATCTTGTCTTTGACCTGACTGAACCCTCCATTCCTTCAACTCAATCTTCACTATACACTCTCAGAGTCTAGTATTTTTGCCCAAGTTGCACAAAAATCTGGTCTCAAGAACCCCCTGGTTCCCTCTAGAAACATACAATATTTTTAATAACACAAGCATCATAATAAAATTTAACACTCAAACATTTGGAAAAAGTATTTTAGAGGAGGGGCTGGCAAACTAAGGCTCCATGCCAGAATGTGGCCCGCTGCCTGCTTTTATATGGCCCAGAAGCTAAGAAAGGTTTTAACATTTTTAAATCATTGTTTAAAAATACACACATTAAAAAAAAAAAAGAAGAAAAGAAAACATAATTAAAATGTCTTTCAAATCTGTCCACATCTCTACCTTACTTGCAATGTCATCTCTCTTTGCCGGGCATGGTGGCTCATGCCTGTAATCCCAGTACTTTGGGAGGCTGAGGTGGGAGGATCACTTGAGACTAGGCATTCAAGGCCATCCTGGGCAACATCATGAGACTCCATCCCCCCCACCAAAAAAAAATACACACACACACACACACACACACACACACACACACACACAGAGAGAGAGAGAGAGAAGGAAGAGAGAGAGAATAGGAGAATGACACCATACGTGGCCCATAAAACCTAAAATAATTATCAATACGTGGCCCACAAAACCAAAAAAATAGTTACCCTCTGGCCTTTTATTTAAAAAAGGTTTGCCAACCCCTGTTTTAGAGTATTTACTATTTGTTTTGTAAGCAGAAAATGTTTTCTTCTACACTACAGAATAAAATTCCAGTCTGAAGAATATCAAATAGTTTTGATATTCAACTGACTTTTTTTTTTTTTTTTTGAGATGGAGTCTCGCTCTGTCGCCCAGGCTGGTCAGCTCACTGCAAGCTCCGCCTCCCGGGTTCACGCCATTCTCCTGCCTCAGCCTCCCGAGTAGCTGGGACTACAGGCGCCCGCCACCTCGCCCAGCTAGCTTTTGTATTTTTTTGTAGAGACGGGGTTTCACCGTGTTAGCCAGGATGGTCTCAATCTCCTGACCTCGTGATCCGCCCGTCTCGGTCTCCCAAAGTGCTGAGATTACAGGCTTGAGCCACCCCGCCCGGCCTCAACTGACTTTTTAAATAAAGAATTCTACCTGTAAACACAAGTAAAACAAAATTTCAATCCTTGAGGCAAATGCTAGAAAATACATAAATTTTTTAAATTACTCTTATTTCTTAAATACAGCCTCTATCAGCCTATTTCTCAGACTTGATCCTTTATCCGACATAATAATTTACATTCTGTATAAACATAATAGCCACTGAGAACTGCAGATCTATTACCTCTCCAACTATTGCCCCCTAGACACTCAACTCTGAAAAAAAAAAAAAGGTTTGACATATTCCTGACAGCTTTGACTGAGGCCTCTGTTATTTCCGGTTTACTAATCTCTATCCATTCTTCTGTTTTTTACTTAATCCATTAAAACAGCTTTAAAAGATAGCATTAATTGACCATATTAAATGCCAATTTATATGATTGATACTCCCAAAGAAAATGTTCTCAATAAATGAATTAATGCATATACTCAAAATCTAGGGTGGTTGAGTATTCACCTTCCTCCTTGAGCTTGCCAACACTTTTCTACCAAAGTACTACAAAATTCTAAACAGAAAATAAATTATTATCCTTGATTGCTATTTGCTTGTTGTCATCATTTACCCACATAATCTCTCCTACTCTTCCCTAATGCCTAATAAAACTAGTTCCTCCTTTTTAGGAACTCTAATATGCTAGTTTCTCTTCTATATTTGTTGTTTTTTAAAAAAGTTTATTTTTAACATCCTTTGCTAATGCTTCAAACATGGAAAAATTTTAGGATTCTCAAGAACAGATCTTGAAATTCTGTATCAGATTAGCAATTTGTCAACCTCCCTCCTTCCATAGAAAACCAAGTTCAGGCCAGGAGAAGTGGCTCACACCTGTAATCCCAACGCCTCGGGAGACTGAGGCGGGAGACTGCTTGAGCCCAGGAATTCGGAACCAGCCACAGCAAGATGGCAAGACACTGTCTCTACAAACAAACAAACAAAAATCAGCCAAGCATGGCACGTGCCTGTAGTCCCAGCCAGTTACTTGGGAGGCTGAGACAGGAGGATCCCTTGAGCCCAGGAGTTCAAGGTTGCAGTGAGCTGTGATCGTACAACTACACCCCAGCTTGGGAAACAGAGCAAGCCTTTGTCTCTTAAAAAAAAAAAAAAAAAATTCATCTATTTAATCATTTTAAATTCCATTGATTATTTCCTTCAGGAAGGCTTTTCAAACTGAAATTTACTTTACACTCATTAAAACTCACCAATTCTTTTTTTTTAACTTAAGATACACAATATAACAAGCAATAAATAATATGTCTGCAGAAGTTTGTATAAAATGTGAAGAAACCCTTATAATGGCAAATTCAGATTTCAGATTAAATAATATTAAATAAGAAATCCTCTAAACCAGTCTGATAAATTTTCAAAAATACCATATCTGATTTTATTATCTGGACTATATTTGGTCCAGTTATATAAATTTGCTAAACTTTAGACTCTCAAAAACAGTCCATTTGAAAAGAGCCCTGAACTCTCAAGACATTAAAAAAATAGTAATAATATGCATATTTAAAAGTTATTTTTATTCCAGAATAGTTCTAATCATTTAGGTCTAAAAAGAGTGTTGAATAATACTAAATCATTCAAATGACAAGGTGCTAAAATACAACATTTCAAAGATCTCTTCGAAAAAAGGCAGGCACAAACCAAAACCTTTATCATTTTTATATTTTTTAAATTGCATTTTGCAATTTAATTGGTTTTTCACTGCAGTATTATTTTAAATGGCCCCAAAATATGGGAATGATTATGAAAGGCATAACATATACATGCAATATTATGCAGCCACTGAGAATGTTTATGAAGAACTTACAACATCAAGAGATTACGTTTGCTTTAACATTAAGTTAAAAAAGCAGAACCCAAAATTCTATACCTATTCTATAACTGACTCTATTATATTATAATTCTGGCTACTTTTTTTTTTTTTTTTTTTTTTTGGAGACAGGGTTTCACTCTGTCTCCCAGGCTGGAGTGCACATCATAATTACAGCTCAATACAGTCTAGACCTTCCCATGCTCAGATGATCCTCCCACCTTAGCCTCCCAAGTAGCTGAGACAACAGGCGTGCATCACCACACCTGGCTAATTTTTGTATTTTTGGTAGAGAACAGGGTTTTGCTATGCTGCCCAGGCTGGTCTCGAACTCCTGGGCTGAAGCAATCCTCCCACCTCAGCCTCCCAAAGTGCTGGGATTACAGATGTGTGCCCAGCCCACAGCTACGTTTAAAAAAAACTACTGGCCGGGCGCGGTGGCTCAAGCCTGTAATCCCAGCACTTTGGGAGGCCGAGACGGGCGGATCACGAGGTCAGGAGATCGAGACTATCCTGGCTAACACGGTGAAACCCCATCTCTACTAAAAAATACAAAAAAAACTGGCCGGGCGAGGTGGCGGGCACCTGTAGTCTCAGCTACTCAGGAGGCTGAGGCAGGAGAATGGCGTAAACCCGGGAGGCGGAGCTTGCAGTGAGCTGAGATCTGGCCACTGCACTCCAGCCTGGGTGACAAAGAGAGACTCTGTCTCAAAAAAAAAAAAAAAAAAAAAAAAACTACTTACAGGAAAAAGGATTACAAGGCAATATACCAAAATATTAACAGTGAAAAGCTTGGGAAGTGGTAAAATGGTTTTTTATTTTTCCACTTTTTTTCTTCTTTTTCTGGGTTTTCATGAGTATGGCTTTTATAATGAAGACAGATTAACATTTTTTAAAAAACTTTTACAAATCCATAAAGTGATAAACTTTAAGTTATATATAATAAAAATAATTTTGTAAGGTTTGCTACTATTTCCATTATTGCAGGTATAGTACCATCCCAATAAACATAAATCCTACCAAAAGAAAAAAAAAAGAATTTTGAACATGCCCACCAATCTATCAAGTTTATCTTTTAAAATTGATAAAAGTATGAAATTTGTTGGCTGGGCGCGGGGTGGCTCAAGCCTATAATCCCAGCACTTTGGGAGGCCGAGATGGGCGGGATCACGAGGTCAGAGATCGAGGACCATCCTGCTAACACGGTGAAACCCGTCTCTACTAAAAAATACAGAAAAAAAAAAACTAGCCGGGCGAGGTGGCGGGCGGCCTGTAGTCCCAGCTACTCGGGAGGCTGAGGCAGGAGAATGGTGTAAACCCGGGAGGCGGAGCTTGCCAGTGAGCTGAGATCCGGCCACTGCCACTCCAGCCTGGGCGACAGAGCAAGACTCTGTCGCCAAAAAAAAAAAAAAAAGAAATTTGTTAAAAAAAAAAAAAAACAAGTGGAGGGGGGAAGATGAAGTTCTCATTATAGGGCTGATTATGTTACCATGACAACTGAGTTTTAATAAAATTCACAATTTACTTTCTTATCAAAATCACTCAGATAACCACCCACAAAAAGATACAATCAAAAAACAACCTAATATTAAGTTTATATTTTCCAAATCGTACATGTGAGTTAACTTACATAATAAAAGCTGCCAGCATTACAGACAGCCTGTGTTTATTATTAAGGGTTCCTCATAGGCAAATAGGAAAATATTGTGGTCTCACTTGTGAAATATGATTGATTGAAGATTCCATCCTTCGTAGCTGGGATGCCTGGATATCCAGCATCTGCAGGACATTGTTGGCCAAGGTGTTTATCAGATAGGCAACACTTGCTAAGGATTGGGTGGTATAGGCTTTGGTTTCTTCTAGGGCTCTCTGCTTATCTGCTGACTAGGAAAAAAAACAAACCAGTGATCATTAATTCAAAGATAACCCATTTCTAGCAATCTAACCTAACAAAAAACTCATCACAACGATTCTGTTAACTGAATCCACCAGAAAGTAAAAAAACGAATCCACCAGAAAGTGAAAACTACTGGTATCACATAAACCCCAAACTCAACTACTGACTGAATTAACTAATGTTTTCATGTTGAACAGACACATTTTTGTACAGATGCAAATAAAACTCTAAAGCCATTATCTAGAAAATGAGATCCAATGGACAATTTGAGCAATGGTAGCAAAGTATACACTGCTTGGAAAGGTAGCACTGATTTGAACGTATAAATTTTGACACACTTTCTTCTGCTTTTCTGAATTCCTCTTTTCCTTTCACTCTATTATGTGAAATGTGGCCAGAACATAATGTCTGATTATATAAAAGCATCCAGGAAAAAAAATTTAATTATAAATAATGATATGATAAATAAAATGGTAATAATGATTATTATAAACTAAAAGTAATAAAAGGATCCTTCCCTCCAAAACATTGTGTTATAACCCTTCAAGATGCAAATTGCCATGTTGCCCAAGCTGGTCTCAAACTCCTAGGCTCAAGAGATTCATTGGCCTGCCTCAGCCTCCCGAAGTGCCAGGATTACAGGCATGAGTCACCATGCCCAGCTAAACATTAAGCAATTTTTAAAATAAATTAAGTTGACACATGCAGTCAGGCTCATTCTTCTTTTCCATTTTAAAATTAAGATTTCTATCCATTAATTATGTCTAAGAAATACTATGACCGTTTATATATGAACATGAAAAAACCAACATGAAAAAAACCACAAAAAGTAAAAAAATTTTAAAAACAGATATAAAGAAAAAAATACAAATAAAGTTCTGTAAGCATTAAGATAACAGCCCCGGCAGAGAGCGGTGGCTCACGCCTGTAATCCCAGCACTTCGGGAGGCCGAGGTGGGCGGATCACGAGGTTAAGAGATTGAGACCATCCTGGCTAACACGGTGAAACCCCATCTCTACTAAAAATACAAAAAATTAGCCGAGTGTGGTGGCGGGCGCCTGTAGTCCCAGCTACTTGGGAGGCTGAGGCAGGAGAATGGCGTGAACCCGGGAGGCAGAGCTGGCAGGGAGCCGAGGTCGCGCCACTGCACTCCAACCTGGGTGACAGAGCCAGACTCCGTCTCAAAACAAACAAAAGATAACAGCCCCAGAAAACACGTAGCCTGAGAGAGATAAATAGTTTTCCTGATCTTGATCCCATAGAGTAAGGCTTTACTCAATGAAATGGAAATAATAATATTCAATTTTGTAAAAATATTTATAGATGGCTTAGCAAGTATTTTCATTAACAGAAGAAGCAAACAAATCTGGTCCCATCCTCTATAAAATAAAAGTAACAGAAAATGTCAGGAGGAAATTCTAAGGATCAGTGCTACAAAGAAAGAGACTATTTTTGTTACAAAAAAAAAAGGTGACACATTCATTCAATATAATCCACAAGTATATACCATATATACAAAACATTGTGCTCAGAGTTGAGCAATTTTAAAACATTGTATCTGCTCTCAAGGACTTACCATGGGAGAAGATCCACATAAATTACTAAGGTAAATTAAGGTGAATAAAAATAAAGTACAGGCAAAATAAAGGTAACATGATGAGCAGTATGAAGAAAAAGGCAGGTTGAGAATATCAGTAATGGCAAATGTTCAGTCAGATTTTTAACCAGTTTTTAAAAATTGAATTCTTAACAGACTCTACACAGCTAATTCAGAAAAATGAAAGTAATTCTCAGATTATTTGTCTTGTATGTATCTTCTAAATCAGTATACCATTTCAAGACGTCTTAAATAAATGTGTAAAAAATAAACCACACCCCCACTAATCTTCCAAGTAAAATCTTCAGTACATTTCTATTTCATTATTACTTTTACCAGTAACTAAAACAGGTCCACACTGGGGACACAAGTAGCTTTACCATAGGTGAAACACTATAAACCACCATATATAGCATTTTTTTTTATTTGTAAAAAGCCTCTGTCTTGGCTTGCAAATCATGACACTAACAGTAAAATTACAACATTCATAAATATAAATAACTTTTTCTTAGCCATTAATTTTACTGCCAACATATTATCAAAGGGCATGTTGGAGATGTCATCTCCATCATCTTCCCCACCAGCCTTCAATTATCATGTTACGAAAATACATTTTCAAATTTACAGCTACCCCTAAAAATGCTCCAATATAGCAATTCTGGAACCACTTCAGGATATGACTGAAGCAGTATTCTGAAACACCTGAGACTGACACTATGAAATACAACTCTCTGGCTTCACCAAGCAACAATATCATACTAAAAAAATACCAACACCTCGGCCAGGTGCAGTGGCTCACAAGGTCAAGAGATCAAGACCATCCTGGGCCAACACGGTGAAACCCCATCTCTACTGAAAATACAAAAATTAGCTGGGCATGGTGGCGTGCACCTGTAGTCCCAGCTACTCGGGAGGCTGAGGCAGAAAAATCGCTTGAACCCAGGAGGCAGAGGTTGCAGTGAGCAGAGATTGTACCACTGTACTCCAGCCCAGGCAACAAGAGCAAAACTCCATCTCAAAATAATAATAATAATAATAATAATAATAAAAAATACCAATACCTCAAGGGCTTCAATATTTCACTCTTAAGTTTTACAGGTTTCGCTACATTTGTAGCTTTAAATTATGTGAATAAACAATAATCAAATAAGAAAAAGGTACAGACAAGAATATTCATGTTCATTAACTCATTTAATGATGAAAGAGAAAAAGCATGAGGCTGACTAAACAATACATTCACATAGTACATTAATGCAGTAACTTAAAATGGTATTGCTATGCATTACTGCTACGTAAAGATATCTACGATATAACTAAGTGAAAAAAACCTGATTACAATGCATCTTGAACATAATCATCATAATTCTGTATGTGCCTGTGTGTAAATACGAGCACAAGAAAAATGTCCAAAAAGTAAGCTCCAAAATGATAACCTAAGTTTTCTCTGAATGTTGGAAATAAAGTTGATTCGGATTTTTAAAATGTTTTCAATATGGCTTAATTTTTTTTTTTAACTTGGGCATGTAGTACTTCCATTATCAAAAAGAGTAAAGCATAACGCTGGCCAGGCATGGCAGTTCATGTCTGCAATCCCACGACATTAGGAGGCTGAGGCAGGAGCATTGCTTAAAGACAGGAGTTCAAGACCAGCCTGGGCAACATTGTGAGACCTCAACTCTACAAAAATTTAAAAATCAGTCAGGCATGATGGTGGACCCCCTGCAGTCTTATCTACTAGAGAGGCTGAGGTGGGAGGATGACTTGAGCCCAGGAAGTCAAAAGATGCAGTGAGCCATGATCACATCACTGCACTCTGGCCTGGGTAACAAAGCAAGACCATGTCCCTCAAAAAAAAATTTAGTTAAAAAAATATGTGTATGTGCATTAATATAAAATAATAGAAACTGAAAATTAAGCATTCCATCCTAGTCAACTATAAGGAATAATTATAAAGCATAAGAGGTCCAAAAGATTTTTAAATCTTTCTGAAATGTATTTTACATTTGCATGCTCATCAAAAAGTTATTTGGGGCTCAAGGGTCTTTTCTTGTTATTTCTAAGTTCAAGATAAAGTTTAAAGGACCAGGGCTGCCATTTGTTTACCTGCTCTATGGATAAATCAGCACAGTGGTGGTTCAGCGGTAGAATTCTCGCCTTCCACACAGAAGACCCGGGTTCAGTTCCTAGCCAATGTACAAGTATGCAGTGGCTCACAACTGTAATCCCAACACTTTGGGAGGCTGAGGCGGGCAGATCATTTAAGGTCAGGAATTCGAGACTAGCCTGACTAACATGGTGAAACCCCATTTCTACTAAAAATACAAAAATTAGCTGGGTATGGTGGCAGGTGCCTGTAATCCCAGCTACTCAGGAGCCTGAGGCAGGAGAATCACTTGAACCCAGGAGGCGGGGGTTGCAGTGAGCCAAGATCATGCCATTGCACCCCAACCTGGGCGACAAAAGCAAAACCCTGTCTCAAAATAAAATTTGAAAAAAAAAAAAAAAAGGATGAATGGATAAAGAAAATATGGTGCAGGCCAGGTGTGATGGGTCACGCCTATAATTCTAGCACTTTGGAAGGCCGAGGTGGGCAGATCACCTGAGGTCAGGCATTTGAGACCAGTCTGACCAACATGGTAAAACCCCATCTCTACCAAAAATACAAAATTAGCCGGGCATGGTGGCGCATGCCTGTAATCCCAGCTACTTGGGAGTCTGAGGCAGGAGAACTGCTTGAACCCAGGAGGCAGAGGTTGCAGTGAGCCGAGATCACATCACTGCACTCCAGCCTGGGTAACAACAGCAAAACTCCGTCTCAAAAAAAAAGGAAAAGAAAAGAAAATATGGTACATATGCCCAATGGAGTACTATTCAGCCATAAAAAAGAATGAGATTCAATCATTTGTAACAACATAGACAGAACTGGAGGTCACTACGTTAAGTGAAACAAGCCAGGCACAGAAAGATCACATGTTCTCACTTATTTGTGGGAGTTAAAAATTAAAACAATTGAACTCATAGAAATAGAGAGTAGAAGGATGGTTACCAGAGGCTGGGAAGGGTAGGGGGAAAGTGGGGAGGTAGGAGAGGAGGAGGTAGAAGGAAAGATAGGGAGGTAGGGGAGCGGGGAGGTAGGGGGAAAGTGAGAATGGTGGATGTAGGGGGAAAGCGAGAATGGTTAATGGATACAACATAATAGAAAGAATGAGTAAGACCTAGTATTTGCTAGCACAACAGGGTGATTTCATAAAAAATAATTTAATTTTACATTTTAAAATAACCGAAAAGTATAGTTGGATTGTTTATAACACAAAGGGTAAAAGTTTGAGGTGATGGACATCCCATTTACCCTAATGTGATTATTACACATTGTATGCCTGTATCAAAAT